TGCAGACAGTAGATAAAGGTTTCTAAGACTATAGTCAACAAATTAGACTGGCATCCTAGCAACATTTATCTATGGGTTGAAATTTGTACAGATGTAATAAGCTTCTGACAATTTTTTTAGTGTTTATTGCATCCTTTTCTACTTTTACGGCATAAGTCAAAAGAAATGTAAAAGGTGCAGATGTTAAAGCATCACTACATATCCCGGTATAGAATAAATGATTATGTACTGATCTATAGCAGGTTGACTCGTTATGATTTGTGACCTTTTTCTTAACATTTCGAGGCATCAATAAAGAGCAGTTGTGAGATTCTCTAAGATTTTATCAAATGTTAAGAGTTTAAGATCTGATTTTATTTGCTCAAACTGTAGGTATTTTTATGCATTTTCTTTCATTTAGTGTCTGTTTGAGACCCATTAAAATTAGAATTGGCCAATTTCATTTTCTGCCACCGTGGGACAACATTCAATGCATTTGTCGGTTGGGGTGAGAAAAACGCATTTCATTGTTGACTTTTGGACACATGATGGCAGGTACGAACTTTCACTTTCCCAATTTACCCTTCCATTAAATGGTTCTACAATGTTCATGTTGGTTGCATTTGGGAGGGTTATTTCTGTAAATTGATTTTGAATAATGAGGGTGTTTTTGTCCAAATGGGTTTCAACATGTTCTGTCAAATTAAAGTGCCTGAACTTCTGTGCATCTCAGTTTTTTAACAATTATTTTGCTGTTATGTAATGAGAAACCTCATTAAAATTTTAACGAGATTCAAACAGGATCTTAGAGTTCGCCTATAACTGAGATGTTTTCTTTTGTTCTTGGAGGTGAGCTCCAACCAACTTATCAGGTCTATACAAATTCCAAATCAGCGTCTAAGATTTTCATTTATTCTCCGAAGAATATCACCATATATATGTGCTCATAATACGCTACCTCAACTCTCTAGCTCCACATTTTTGTTCATACGGACTATTTATTCAGAATTATAGTGTTGAGAAATGCTACATCAGTAAGTAACACGATTGAGAAACATTTAGCATTGGTATTTATTCCTCATATGCAATTAGCATCCAACATATTAGTTTTGACTTTTGAACCAAAATATGACTCAATCATTCAGATTCATGACAATAGGACAGTGCAACAGTTGGAGATCATAAATTGAGAACTTGCAATTTTATCAGATGGTGGTAATAAAAATGCAGAAAATAATTGAGAAGATACCCAAAGAGAACCAACGATCAACCATCAGAGCACATTTATCTATAGTTTATTAAATATCATATTAAGTGAGAATCATTCTTTAGACGATTTTATCCCTACTATAATTCAATTATTTCAATAATACCTTACTTTTTTTCCAAAATGTATTTAATTTATTTAACCATTTAGTCACCATCAATATACATGTACATTTGAAAAATTCATTACACCTGTATACTTTCATTAATGAATGAATTCCCTATTATTAATTATCAATTAATTAACATTCATATTCATTTAATTAATATTCATCTTCATTTATGCATTCCAGTGTTATTAATTCTAATTATAAGTTAGTTAAAATTTCACATTCTGATGAAGACAAAATAATAATTCAATTTAATTTCGGGTTTGTTTGTTTTTGACGAATTGCTAGTCTAATTTGAGTGGAAACAGGCCAATGATCACAACTCAGGGCCTTTGGCCCTGAAGCACGTCAAATTTTGGGCAAATTCCATCGTTTAGGCCCTCAATTACGCGTTTTTGCCGTTTATGGTAATTTTTGTTTTGGCAATATCTTAGTCAAATAAACTCGGATTTGATTTCCGTTTGTTGGGGGATGATCCTGATGATTAGGAGAATCAAGATCCATGATTATCTCAATTTTTTCCATTTTTGGAAAAAATAATATTTTTTATTATTATTTAATTTCTTTCCGAATTTTATTAGGGTTTCGCTATTTAAACGTTGTAAGCCTTTTGAGGCAGCTCAGTTTTGAATGAAATAAAATTTTCTTGAATTTCTCTTGATTGAAATTCTTTTTGTGAGATTTTTGTCTTTCCTATAAGCTTCCCCTGCATCAGTTGGTATCAGAGCCGAAGTCGTTCCTTCATCATGCCTTCAAGGAGACGTCAAGAAGCCCGTGAAGCCCTAGTAGAGGAAATACATAGACGTGATAAAATCGCACAGCTGCGTCAACAAGTGGAGTTGCTGACACAGCAAGTTGCTGCACTTATGCCGCAGCAACATGCACCTAGGGGTCGTGGTCGTCGTGGGCAGGTTCCGATTGAGGAAGTCCAACACCGTGATCATAATATTCAGAATGTCACGATTGAAGACATTGAAGAAACAATAGAGGAGGAAGAGTTTGATTATGACAGTCTGCCTGTATTTGACAATGAAGACATTGAAGAAGTAACAGAGGAGGAAGAGTTTGATTATTAAGGTCCGCCTGTATTTGACAATGAAGACATTGAAGAAGTAACAGAGGAGGGAGAGTTTGATTATTACGGTCCGCTTATATTTGACAGTGAAGGTGGGGGAAGAAGCAGCAGAGAAGGAGGAGTTTGTGATTGGTGATGTGGGTCAGTCATTGTTGGTGAGGCGGAGTTTTCTGACTTCCCTGAAAAATAACACTGACTGGTTGCGTACTAATCCCTTCCAGTCGACGTGTACTATTGGGGAAAAGAAAAGTGTGTTGCTTCCAGATAATGGCTCAGTAAAAGCAGTTGGGGATGACGCCAATTTACTGACCAGAGTGAAGTTCGAGACAAATATGGAAGGATATGGGATAGTGTATGTGCTGGTGGAAAAGTCAGTTGACAGTAAGCAGGAGGTCACTCGCAGGATTCAGTCATTGCTAGAGGAATTTCATGAGGACTTCCCGGAAGAGCTCCCAGATGGATTACCGCCCGAGCCGTCATTTCGAGGTGATAATTCTGATGATGATGAGGTTTTTACCCCATTAAATTCGAGAGCGAATTTTTCTCAACCCGTGGAGAATGATGAAGGCAAAATAATAATTCAATTTAATTTCGGGTTTGTTCGTTTTTGACGAATTGCTATTCTAATTTGAGTGGAAACGGGTCAATGATCACAACTCAGGGCCTTTGGCCCTGAAGCACGTCAAATTTTAGGCAAATTCCATCGTTTAGGCCCTCAATTATGCGTTTTTGCCGTTTATGGTAATTTTTGTTTTGGCAATATCTTAGTCAAATAAATTCGGATTTGATTTCCGTTTGTTGGGGGATGATCCTGACGATTAGGAGAATCAAGATCCGTGATTATCTCAATTTTTTCCATTTTTGGAAAAAATAATATTTTTTATTATTATGTAATTTCTTTTCGAATTTTATTAGGGTTTCGCTATTTAAACGTTGTAAACCTTTTGAAGCAGCTCAGTTTTGAAGAAAATAAAGTTTTTCTTGAATTTCTCTTGATTGAAATTCTTTTTATGAAATTTTTGTCTTTCCTATAAGCTTCCCCTGCATCACATTCAAGAATGCATTTCATTATTCACGTAAATGTATGCGAATTAACTTTCAATTTTACTTAATTGAAATTAAATATCACATCAAGTGAGAATCATTTTTTGAACGATTTTAGCCATACTATAATTCAATTATTTCAATAATGCCATATTTTTCCTTTTTCAATATGTATTTAATTTATTTACCATTAATGTACTATACATTTGACAGATTCATTTCATCTGTGTGCTTTCATTAATGTATGAATTTTCTATTATTAATTCTCAACTAATTAAAATTCATCTTCATTTATGTATTTCGGCGTCATTAATTCTAATTATAAGTTAATTAAAATTTCACATTCAATAATGTATTTCATTATTCACATCCATGTATGTTAATTAACATCCAATTTTACTTAATTGGAAATTAAATAAATGATTTATCATTCATCGTCACGTATATATCCTCTGGCAATAATTCTAAATTAATTCACATTCACGCATATTCAAATATTACTTTTACAACACTTTAAACTATTTCATAATAACGTGCAACGCATTTTCAACGTTGACTAGTAGAATAAAAAGGAACATCAAATCAATTACTACGATATTAAGGCATCAACATAATTGTTTCAAGTAAGTTAGTTCAAATAATATAAACTCAGAGTAAGCTTTCAAATAATATAGGGCCTGTTTGGTAGGAATTCTCATTTTCTACAGTAAATCAATTCTCATTTTCAACCACACATTCTTCAATAAAATAATATTTTCCATCACATCAATAATTTTTTCTTCTTTTTCAACCACACATTTCCCATCATATCACTATTCAAAATCAATTNTTTTCAACCACACATTTCCCATCATATTACTATTCAAAATCAATTCTTCTCCCAAAAAATCCCTACCAAACAAGCTCATAAACTCAGAGTAAGCTAACTGTTGACACATACCTAAGGATGCTATATCGGTGTACTTGTCACTGAATGCATATACATTCACCGCAACCTGATACTTTGTGAAATCAGCAGCCATCTGTTTATAAAACGGATCTTCTGGTATTCTTAGTGTATGCTCTCTATCTGTTCCATAAATGCGAGCATCATCTCGCAGTCGTAGACGGCCAGCGCCCAGTGATGGCAATGTATTCTGGAAAATCAACAACTTACCACCAAGTTGCCCCTGGAAGTAGGAAGCATATACGAGTTAGTACTAAGTTAATAGATGGAAAACAACTTTCTAAAAGAACAAGGGCAATCACACAACAGGAAAGCAAAAAGTATCTAATATCGAAATCAAAACACAAATGCCATAGTGGAATACTGGTCAAACAACATCAACAGAAAGAGTTGTTGATCGAAGTTAAAATTAATGGACAGAAAATAATCAACACACCATAACCATGAATGCAGCTTTAAGAGCTGGACCAAACGCAGATTCCACATTCATGTTATCCTGGAACATGGAGGGAAAGCTATCAAGGAATGCATCCACCACATTTCTAGATTCTGACAAGTTGACGAGAAGATCGTCTGGCAATGGAACAAATATGTCATCCAAATCTGAGATGACCATCATCTGAGGCTGCATTAAAGATGACTGATAAAAGGAAATGGAACAAGTTATTCACCGAAATGGAGTGAAAGGGATAATTTAAGTATGCCGCAAATTAACTCCTACATGAGACCCCTTACCTTCATATTATAGAAATGTATTGTGCTGTCATAAGTTATGAACCCAATCTGCGTACGGGGAAAACCAGGCAATTTATCCAAACAAGACTTGATAGTCTGTGCTACTACCTGCAAAATATATTTGGGGTTAAGCAATCATGAAGCTATGCAGAAAACATAAACGGATAAATGGTTTTTTTCACATGGTAATCAACTAAGATAATTTATTTATCCATGGAAATACCAAGCTTAAAAAAATAAAAATAAAATAAAATAAAACATGCGTCCCAATAAGTTCACATCATCAACTCTAGTCACGCAGAGACACTCAACAATCAACATTAAAGAAAAAAGCAATAAAAAACTAGAAAACAACAGAAATATTTCAAAAACATTAACGAAGGTTGGTTATCATCAATGATAATCCATCCATCAATTCAGTTTAAAGCACACCTATGCAACATAAACAAAGATGCAGCAGCATACCCCTCATGAAAAAATCAGAGAAAATTAAATATTGGAAAATATAAGAAAAGGAAAGGATAAAAAATGAATATACAGATGTACAAAAATATCTTGTTACAAAAAACTACATATACATTCCAGACAATTAGGAGTTGCAGACAAACTGTGTCATCAATCAATTAGTGCATGAGAATACCAAAATGAAATCTCTTGCCTTAACACTGTCAACTTATGTTGGGGAATGTTTACCTCAAGCATTCCACTTTTAACTGCAGATATTGATACGTCAATGAGGAAAAAGTACAGTGGTGGCATTGGAGGCCGAACCATGTATTCAGCTGGAGCAATCAACTCAACGCTACCCTTGGTAAGCTCAGGTCGTTCATCCAAATCAACTCTTCTGCCACTGGCATCCAAATGTGCGAAATAATCACCAGGAACTGGAAATGAAATTTGCAATAGATCAGTTCATGTATCTTCAGAACTATACAAATGAATAAATTCAAATAATCAACTAATTTAACTACTAAAAAAATTGAAAAAGATATAAAATAAGTAACCAGGCAGCTAGAAGCCAGATAGAACTTTAGAGATCCTCTCCTACATTTCTATTAGCAGTTTTAACACAATGACCCATTTGGTATTAGGCCAGTTCATTGAGGCTCATCACAAAAAATGTCTACAAATGAATAGTTTGATCTCGATCATAACAATGCAATGTAGCTATGAACTTATTTCGAATCTTTCCCTTACCAAAGGAAGTTGGCAGACTAGCTATATAAGTCTCAATGCGTCTATGTTTGCTTTTGTCTGTGTGTGTGTGTGTGTGTGTGTGAGAGAGAGAGAGAGAGTCAAATATATAGCCCCTGTTTAGTAAAGATTAAAATCAGATTTTTAGTATATTTTGATAAAAGTTGATGAAATGTGAGATTAAAAAGTTGTGGATCCCATGAAATGTGTGGTTAAAATTAATTATTGACTTTGACTTGAAATTTTAATTGAATTTTAATCCAAAACAAGCATGGGCATAGTTTATTGTGCTTTTTAAGCGAGTGCCATACACCATATATGCAGGTCCATGACCAGATATCAAGAGTTAGAATCATTATGAGTGTATTTGATTAACTTTATTTTCTATAAAAAATGTCATTTTTACACCCAAATTCTTACTTTTTGGGTGTTTGATTGACAATTTTTTCCATGAAAAATATTTTCCAACTTTTGGTTACGTACATGGTTTAAAAAGGCGGTAGTGAGGCGCATGTAGTATGCCTCGAGGCAGTATTTTTTAGGCTAAAAATATGAGGCTCACGCCTCTAAATCTGAGACGCGCGCCTCATTTAAAATTTGATTTTTCAATTGTATGAAAAGAAATTAGAAAGTGCTCTTCTTAAAAAAAGAAAAGGGCCAATTTAAAAAGGCATTTTGGGCCCAAACAAAACAATAAAATACCTAGAAAACTAAATGGCAGCCAGAAATTTTTTTTTTTTATAGGTAATCACGTAAATTTTATAAATCAAAAATAAAAGATAATACACAAGGAGTGCATTATCATGTTAAACAAGATAGAAACGATAAAAAATTCGGCAACCCTTCTATCGGACTAATGGTTGCAGCCTTAAACCAGCTATACAAAGTCAAGTAAAACAATTCTCTAAATTGCTCTGTCGTCCGTATTTGGTCTTCAAAGCATCTGCCGTTTCTTTCTCTCCACACACACCAAACGATGCATCCTGGAATGAGATCCCAAACAAGCTTGCTATTCTTATCTCGAAACTTTCTCTTCCATGTCCACACCACCTCCTTGATACTCCTTGGGAACACCCAACTCATATGTTGCGACGCCAGAATATCATTCCACAGCAAAAAGGGAACAGATTCAACAGATGATGGGGAAATTAGATATGATGATGATTCCATTAACGATGCTAGTAATAGTGATGATAGTGCAGACTATTAGGCTTTTTTTTAGTTTAAGCTGTTTCTTTTTTTTCATTGCAAATGGAGTTATTTCTAACTTCTGTAATGCTTTTTTTTTTTGCTAAACACCTTTATTTAGGTGGACTATATCTCAATATCCTAATGGTTATATATCATATTTACTATATGCTCAAACTTTGATTTTTTGTATTATTTTATAATTCTTTTGCTTAAATTTTTTGTTTTTTGTGAGGCGCTCGAGGAGTAAGCCTCATAAAGAAAAACTGCCTCAATACTTAGTTTCGCCTTTTTAAACCTTGGTTACGTGATCATATTTTTCTCAAAAATAAGGAAAATATTTTCTTTTGGAGGGTTGATTTTATTTTTCAGGTAATTCACTCTCTCTCTTTCATCTCTCCAATCTCTCTCATCTACCCACCAATAAAAATAGACAAGTATAATATATTCTACGTTGAAAACTAAATCAATCAAACACATTTAATTAATAATTTACATACAAATAAATTCTAGGTAATTGAATTATTTTATTTCCATGCAAATTCCATATTCACAATCAAACGCACCATAATTGATTAAGGCTATAAATGATTGTACGAGGAGAGATAAGAAAAATTATAAAGGCCATAACGACAGGAACGAGAAGCCAAGTAGAGTCCACTTAAAATGACAAGACCCGTGCATGGAAAAGAGTAACAATCTTTGAGTAGCAAAAAACAGAGTCATAATAGAAATTATAAAGGCCATAAAGGCGGGAACAAGAAGCCAAAGTAGAGTTCCATTTAAAATGACCAAGCCCCATGCATGGAAAAGAGTACCAATCTTTGAGTAGTAAAAAATTGAGTCAATAAGCTATTTCCTTTTTCCTTTTCCTTATGTGGTGAGTGAAGAATTTTGTGGCTGCCACACAAATTAACTGAATAAACTGTAAAGGTATAAAGAGAATTGTTAAAAAAATTAGAACTGCACCAACCAAAAGATTCGTGACATGATTCAACATTAACAACAAAAGCAAAAAGGCAAAAGTTTCTCACACATTTATGATATTTTTAAAATCCCAAAGGTAAAGGAAAGTTACCATCATTAAGCAATGAACATATGTTGCACCTCCACTTTCTTCCACTATCAGTAAATGTGACATATGGATTTACATATGTGCGGCACCTTCTACAACGAATGATGCCAGTTGTAGCAAAATTAACTATCGGAACTTCTTCCTGGACAAAGATGAGATCACAATTAAAGTATATTAGATTTAGAAAGATCATAATATACTCGTCATTAAAAAAAAAATAACTCTTCTAAATAAATCGAAACTAACCCCATCAGGAGCTTCTGCAAGAGGACAAACAACAGCTCCAAGAGGCAAATGCCACCTTGATGCCAAGGACTGAGAATTTGGTATGCCACATGTTGTGAGGCGTATATATCGAGAACTACAATTCATGGGGTACATTGCAGCCAAAGAATTTGGCTCCACATCACCAGCCAATGGCCTGGGCAATGTTTCAGGATCAAGTCCTGTATCAAAAGATCCTGGTACCGATCCAAGAGAGAGTGAACTAAAGTCTTCAGCCAAACCCTGTGAAACACCCATTGGAGGTGCAATGACAGTATGCTGCATCTGGTCCCTAGAATAGAGCCCTGCTGGAGTTACAACAGGTGAAGTCGGCACATAACCTCTTTGTGGAGAGGAAAATGGTGCCAGTGATGCAGCAGGACCATAGCCTCCTTGCTGTGAAGACAATGGGACAGCCTGCACAGGTGGAGCATAAATAGCAGAATCTGATTGTGTATTAGGGTGCCCTGGAACAGGTGGCTGGAAGTTTCCTCTGGCAGCCATGTAAGATGGCCCCATTGGAGGTGGCAGTGGTAATGATGATTGAAGATGTGGCCTGGGTGGGTAGAAGATTGAATCTTTAGATGGAGGAGAAACATTTGTGTATGACTGTCCAACTTCCATGCTTTGAGGAGGAGATCCCATTGGTATTGAAGGCAGTTGGGATTGAGGAAGAAGAGATACAGGAGAAGATGAAATAGGACCTCCAGGAGGTCTACTTGGTGGGGGTGCAACTGGCTGGCCCACAAGAGATGTGAGCGTAGGTGGACCTGGTGGTACTTGAACTGCCGAGGGGAACTGTGGGGTTTGGAAACGCTGGAAAGGTCCTGCTGTTGGCAGGCCATATGATGGTGGTAAAGATGATGGCCTGACTGGATCATTGGACCTATCTGGTAGCGGAGGTCCAAAGCTAGGGTGCTCTAATCCTACCAAAGACCCAGATGAGATGGGAGGTGTCGGAAATTGAGATGCAGTGGGAGGGGCAGGCCTAAAGGCAGAGGCTTCTGATCCAACTATTGAACCAGATGATGTAAAAGGAGTTGTACTTCGAGGAGTAGCAAAGCGTGTTACAGCTGGTCTAAACGGGAAATTTGGACGGTTAGAATTTTCAGTCCCCATATATCACACTTTATCCGTTAGCTTCTGTCAGGCAGCGCACACAACGCATAAAACAACAGATCGATAAGCATGATACCAAATCACAATTCTGCTAAATGTAAACTAGTCATGAAGCTCAGACAAAACAATGCAAGTTGAATATTCGAAGTTTCATGCACCAACATATTGAATAGTGTAAGCAGTTCAGTGGCAAATTAATAAATGCTATAGTTGAAGAGGTCTTTAGAATCTCATGTCTCCCTTTTCTAATGCAATCATACAACAGGGTCATCGGGTGTTTCTTTCAGTATTTAAGCAGCTGTATACTACAAATGCACAGGGCCTCGGATATGGGTAGCAATAAGGTGCTTATGCCCCAACGTTGGGGCTTGTGGAGAAGCTCCCAGCCCGACGAAAAATAATTCCCAGATATTTCGGCAGTTTCACTGAAGCAGAATATAAATATACCAATTTTCTATCACTAACCGGTTGGAATAGGATTAAAAGTCTGAATTATCTTTCACCATTAAAGGATGTTGATTAAAAGCTAACATTCAAGCTCAGAGCAAGAGGAATCGAATAATATAATACAATTCAGCGACAGGACTCGCGCCTAATTGAACTGCAAAGGCTTGTATTAGACATTCCGATCTCAATTATCCAAAAATCACCCAAAAGAATTAGAAGATAAAGACTATTTAAATTAAGATTGACAGCTCTAACTAATCAATTAATAGAATTTCGAAATCTAATTATAATCCAGAATCTAAAAATTTTCCAAGTGAAACGAAAAATTATAAGCACAAAATGCGTCGAATGAGGCGTGCGTAGAATTATTGACCTGATCGAAGATCTCGCCGGCGGAGAGTAGAACCCGAAATCCCGAATACTACAGAGCCGCCGATCGGAGAGGGCATAAGAACAGAATTAAATGTTCGGTCCTACTTTCTCTCTCTATTAAAGTTTTTATATTTTGATTTTGTTGAGATCCTTAACAAACAGACCCCCTGAACTAAGCCCTTTTAGTCTTCCTTTGGAAATCGTACATTTACAAAAATAAAATATTTTACTCTATTTTTTAATTAAACATTCTTTAAAAAATCATGTTGAGAATAATTTTTTCAATAATTGTCATGCAAAAGGGAACTAAAGTGTAAATGGATTAAAGTAGTAATTAAAATTATCATGGGTAACTTGGATATTTGCAAATAATCTCTACTATCTTAAAAGAGGCAATCTACAATTTACTGTTCATTTGTGAAACTTTTTTTTAATCCCATTTTATTCATACTCATTCCCTACTATTCATTCAAACTTTAAGGGTAATATGGACTTCCTTCTACCCATACCCACCGTTGTTGACTTTGAATCTCTTAGGCCATATTTGATAAGCCTAATTTTCCATCGAACTTGGAAAAGAATTTCCTTCTTCTTGGATTTGGCATGTTTGATAGACACAATTTTCTAGGGTAAAAGTTTTCCAAGATCCTCCTCCACGCGCCAGTTTTCTGCTTTTTTAGTGAAAATGTTTTCCCACCTTTTTTTTTGGCATGTTCGATAGACACAATTATCTAGTGTAAAAGTTTTCCTAGGTCCTCCTCCACGCTCCAATTTTCTGCTTTTTTAGTCAAAATGTTTTCCCACCTTTTTGGTGGGAAAACTGTTTTCCAGGTAGCTGACCTTTTTTTTTTAAGCAATGGAAATAAATGTCATAGCCAATTGTAAAAAAAAAATCACTTTAATGGACAATTTTCATCTAAAACAAAGTCAAACGAACACTAAATTTTGACAAAAAAATGAGTTTTTAAGAAATACTTTTTGGCAATGGAAACAAATTTTATAACCAATTGTGAAAAAAATATCGTTTTAATGGACAATTTCTATGTAAAATAAAGACAAAAGAATAGAAAATTTAAAAATTTTTCGGGTGGAAAATTATACCAATCAAACACACTTGAAATATTTTCCCTACAAAACATTTTCTAGGCAAATCTTTTCCCTATAAAATATTTTCTTTCCACCCATTTTCCACCCTTGCAATCAAACGCACACTTATTGCTTCTTGGACAATCCGCCGTTTAATATTCATTGTGAAACCTTTTTTTTTTTTGGCAATCCACCGTTTACTTGATTAGTGTTAAAAATAATTGTATGTAAATTTGGTTAAAATATTATTTTTAAATGTATTGTACACTTTTAAAATATACAAGATAAAAATGATTTTGTTTTACTATAGTAGATTATTGAAAAAAATCAAAAAAACACCGCACCGTGCGGAGAGGCACTCCGCGTAGTGTCTCTTGAAAATTTGTTCTCTTTGCCTGTTTTGGGTTGTTTTCTGTTTTCGATTTTTCAAAACAGTGAAAACGCGTTCTCTTTCCTATTTTCGAAAATGCGTTTTGGGAAACAAATTTTTTTTCTACAAAAAACACCAAAACGACTTTTTTTCATTTTGGTTGTTTTCAAGCAAAAAGTTGAAAACACGGGAAACACATTTTTACTTCCTTCTCAATTTTCCCCCTTTTTCACTTCCTTCCACCGTATCCCACAGCCAAAATCGCAGCAAAACACCACCACCACCGCCACAGCTCGCCACAGCCACAATCGCCACCAAAAATACCCACCGCATCCTACACCCGTTTTTGGTTGGTTTCTTTGATGGGTGTTCAGCAGCTCATTCTCCACTTTCGGCCCTCTCGATCTTTTTCCTTTACTCATCCCATGTTGGTTTTGATTATTCTTCTTTTAATTTCATTTCCCATTATTGTTGTTTGGCTAGCGATTCCTGTGATTTGGACAACTGAAATACTTACTCATTAAAATCCATAAAAGTCTCTTTGTAGTTGCGAAAATGAAGAAGATGCGATGAATTTGTAATTTTCAATACGTATATTTGTGTAATGAATGACACACTCTCTTATGCTTATGCCGATAATATTTTCTTTCTTTTTATTCCAATAAAATTGAGTAAAGTTATTGCTCAAATACATCTGTGAAATTGCACTCCAGGTGTTTGTGAAGATGTGTGAGCCATACGATAAAGTTGTGCCTATTTTCTGTCAATTATACGGCTGTTTCGAAATGGATTACGTTGAGAAGTAAACTTGATTTTGTTCTAACAGTGTATTTTCTCGTTTTCATTTTTCTTGATTGTGTACTTTTAGATGATGGTTCTAATTCAAACTTTAGATCGGGAGGGAGCTTGGAATGTGTATAGAGTTGTAAGGTTATGGAGATGGTACCGATGTGGTGCGGTGATGTAGCAAACATGATGCAGCGGTGATGTTGCTGGTGAGATGATGGATGGCAGTGGTTTGTTGGATCTGAATTGTTGAAGTCTGTAAGCCTAGGCATTCATCTGTTATTTTTAAAATAGTCAAAATCTTATAATTAGAACTAAAAGTATTTTTTGGATGGAGAAAATCAAATTCTAAGAATCAGAGAGCTGTCGAGATGGCTATTTTTGTCCAGTGAACACGTGATTGTTGTTCATTTTATGCTGTAGAGACATTTTTGTTGTCCATGAGGTCACCGAGTAATACAAGAGGGGAAGTGCAACAACCGAAACAACAATTCGAATTTCGGTTCGTGCCCCTACAGTGCTGCAGAATTTGTGAACTATGGTCCTCTGCGTAATGAGCCAACTTTGCAGATGCCAAGAACAAGTACAGAACTTGAATCCTTGGTGGAAGATTTGCACCACCAAAAAAATGTAGACTTCAGCATCTCAGATTTGTCATACAAGATAGTTGTATTTTTGTTTTTGTGTCGAGAAGCTGAAAGTATCAATGTAAATTAGTTCCATTTTGCTGGTGGCTTTTTACTGATGATGTAAGGCTTATTACTGATGTTTAATATATCAATTGATATGTATCGGTGAATTCTTTGCTGATGTTTTTGTATTGATGTTCTCATTCATATATCATGTTGGATGAACTGGAAAAATTATTACATCACTATGACTACCAATTTGATTACCCGTGATTTAACTTCATTGTAGAAGCTAACTAGAAATAGGAAATAAACCTGTAAGATCTAAAGTAGGATTTATCATGTAAAGATGTTATTTGCCACCTGTAATTTTTCATTTGCCATTTGCCACATAGGATTGTCATTTGCCACCCGCAATTTTTCATCCACAATTTAAAAATGTTAATTAAAGAATGGTGGATGAGTAATTATATGAAAAGATGAATGAGTATTGGGTAACCAATTAAAGATGAGTGAGTAAGAAGTAACATGTTTAAAGTTTGATGGTGATTCATTAAATTTACTCGTTTTTTCCCGAATGCTCCAATTTTTTCCTTACGTGTTCATATTTGTATTCTTCCTGTATCGGGAAAGTATGATTCTTTATGCGGTTTCTTCAATGAAATATTAACGAGCATAGAAACTATTTGATAACAAAATTCAAAATTTATATGTTATTTTTAACTATATTAACATTAAACTATTAAAATTAATTGGATAACTAGATTTATTGAATAAAATATTATTAAAATTTTTTTTCAAAATTTCAAAGTAAACGCGTTTTCTATTTTCAAAAACAGTTTTTCAAAATGACAAAAAAAATGCATTTTCATTAATTTCAAAACAGACACTCAAAATAGAAAACACAAAGCGAATTCAAAACAGAAAACAGAAAACGCCACCTAATTTGTTGACTTTCCCTTTCTCTGTTAATTTCCCTTTACCTCTTCCTCCAAGAGTCGATAATGAAGGCATTTTTTGTCGTTCTTCTTCTTTCCACGCTGCGGGGAGATGCAGCGCGGAGAGGTTGCTCTTTATCTTTCATTAATGGCGATTCACTCCTTCCTCTAAATTAAAACCTAATCCTAAAATCTAGGACCCCCCCGGCCCCCCGACATTTGCTACATGTTGAAGGTCCTCACCTCCACATGCTTGTTCCACGCCAGTATATCATCGTTTGGGGTACAACTTCGGCCCGGGCCCATCGTCGAGACTGCCTCTCCAATACTTCTGGTCATGAACTCCCTCCGAGGAACTAACATAAAAAAGGCCGTATTTTTATAGCCAGTTCATCATCTCCGACTCCGCTGATGGGTCCAACGTGGAGGAAGCTGGGTCCGAGGCCAAAGAGGTTGACGGGGCTGCGACTGATGAGTCTGAATGTAAGTCTTCATCAGCTATTGTTCCCCCTGTATTTAGACCTGAAAATTATTTAACGGTCAGTTTTATGAATGATAGTTATACATGCATTTAGTGTACATGAATTGTTGGAGTATAGAGGCCAAAATAGACAGCATGGAAATGCAACAAAAGGCGGCAATCAAAGAAGCTAAAGAAGAAGAAAAGTTAGCTCAAAGTTAGTTAAAGTTAATTAGCTCTAAGTCAGTTAAAATTAGTTATTCAATTCTGTTAGAGTTCGGTTAGTTTGTTTAACTTCATTTAATTTCCCCTCTGTGTATATATATAGTTGCATTGTATTTTTTTCCCAATTGATTCGATCAACTCATTCAATAAAGAATAGATAATTTCTCTCATTTGTCTTCTTCAATTCACCATTCAAAAATTATCATGGTATCAGAACCTTACTGAGATCTATTCGCACGCCATCTCCTTTTGCTTGAATTGATCGTCTCCTCTCAATCACTAATTCAATTCTCTGAATATGAGTTCTCATAACTCCTCTGTGAATCCGCCTGCACTTGCAAACTTGAGTAATTCTGGTGGAAATCCTTCAGATGACTCCTCTAGCCCCTACTACCTGCATCCTAGTGATAATCCTGGTGCAATGCTGGTTTCTGAAATCTTCAATGCAAACAACTACGTTGCTTGGAGCAGATCTATAACTATTGCCTTGACTGTGAAAAACAAGGTAAAATTTATTGATGGTTCGATCTCTCCTCCCTCCACTGATCAACTAATCAATCACACGGCTTGGTTGAGAGCTAATAATCTGGTGCTCTCATGGCTGATGAATTCCATCTCAAAGGAGATACGCAACAGCCTTCTGTTCGTCACCTCAGCAACAGATCTCTGGAATGAATTAAAAGTTAGATACCTTAGAAGTGATGGTCCAAGGGTATTTCATCTGGAAAAATCCCTAAGCAGCATACATCAAGGATCAATGTCTGTGACAGAGTACTTCAGCTCATTCAAAACTCTGTGGGATGAATATATCAATTACAGGCCATTTCCTACCTGTACTTGTGGAGTTATGGCAACCTGCACCTGTGATTTACTTACCTTCTTGCATAATCGCCAACAATCTGACTATGTATTGAAGTTCTTGGTTGGATTAAATGATTCTTTCGCCTCTGTCAGGAGCCAACTATTGCTTACAGTTCCTCTACCCAGTATGGGAAAGGCATTTTCCCTACTGCTTCAAGAGGAAAGCCAGAGGTTACTAACTAACTCATCAGCACATGTTGAGACTCATGCCTTGATGGCAAAACGTGGCAATCAACAGACCTACCAGGCAAAGCCATTCAAAGATAGAGATAAGGCTAAAATGTCCTCACCACTTTGCACTCACTGTGGTTATACTGGACATAGGGTGGATACATGTTATCAGCTCCATGGATATCCTCCAAATTGGTTAGGGCCAAGAGGTAAAAGAAATGCATCAGGAAATTCCTCAGCACATGCTGCAATTACACAAGACCAGAACAACATTGAGCAGCAATAACTGTCATTCACTCCAGAGGAATTCCACAAGCTTATTGCACTTGCTAATTCAACAGTAAACGATGCTCCTGAACCAGCAGTTAACTTTGCATCCACATCTTCTTTCTCTGGTAATATTCATCTTACATCACATACCATGTGTTGCAGCTCTACTTCTCCAAAATTGAAATTAGATTCTGATTAGATCCTAGACACAGGTGCCACAGATCACACGATCTGTTCCCCTTCCCTATATCATTCTAACTCTCAACATATCCATACTTTTGTGTACCTTCCTAATGGTATCAAGGTACCAGCATCTCACACTGGAACCATTTGTCTTTTTAACTCCATCCTATTACATAATGTTCTTTGTGTTCCCTCTTTTACTTTCAATTTACTATCTGTTTCAAAACTTGCTGCTCAAAGCAATTTGTGTCTCAACTTTACTGAATTCTATTGCACATTGCAAGACCAACTAACGAAGAAGATGATTGGGATTGCATTTGAAAAGAATGGATTGTACCACTTCAATAAAACCTTACCAAAGATTCAGACCAGCACACCCTCCAACTCTGCACCCCTAGCATCTGTCATCACCCATCACAAGCTGGACTTATGGCATTATAGATTAGGCCACATTTCCAATTCTAGGCTGCTTTCTCTTAAACAGATAGACTCTTCCATTTCCTTTGATTGTAATAATATTTGTGATATCTATCCCATGGCTAAGCAAAAAAGGCTGCCATTCCCTGTATCAGTTCACAAATCAAATAAATGTTTTGAATTGGTTCATTTTGATATTTGGGGCCCCTTTACCCCCATTTCCTATTCTAATTTCAAGTATTTCCTCACCATTGTTGATGATTTCACAAGGTGTACTTGGGTATACATGATGAGAGCTAAATCTGAAGCCTCATACTTAGTCAAAACATTCTGCCACTTGGTGAAAAATCAGTTTTCTGCTTCCATCAAAACCATACGTTCTGACAATGGACCTGAATTTCTACTCAACAAATTTTATCACAAATATGGAATAACACACCAAAAGAGCTGTGTTGAAACTCCACAGCAAAATGGAACCGTGGAAAGAAAGCATCAGCATCTTTTGTGCACTGCCAGGGCACTGATGTTCCAATCAAACCTGCCTCTCAATTTCTGGAGTGACTGTATCTTAACAGCAGCCCACATCATCAATAGAATTCCCACTCCTCTTCTTCACAACAAATCCCCAATTGAAATGCTATCTGGTAAACCTCCCAACCTTTCACACCTAAAAGTCTTTGGCTGTCTTTGCTTTGCCTCTACTCTCACACACCACAGAAAGAAATTTGATCCAAGAGCTACAAAATGCCTTTTTCTGGGTTACCCCTCTGATTATAAAGGCTATAAGCTCATGGATATCTCTACCAACAAAGTGTTTGTCTCCAGAAATGTCATCTTCCATGAATCCATATTTCCCTTCAGGTCACTCACTCAAAATCCTACTCACTCACCCTCCTTGTTTCCTATCTCAGCTCCTTTCTCAGACTACAACTCCTCCATACTTGACCCACCTTCACCTCATCTTTCACCTAATGATGCTCCTTCTCCCATCACTCAATCTCCTCCATCCTCCCCTACAGCTCATCCTTCAAATATGTCACCAACCAGTGACACCCAAGCTCCTCCTCTCCCTGCAGATCTTATACATATCAGAAAATCAACAAGAATTCACCAGCCACCTATTCATCTACAAGATTACTACTGTGGTACAGTCCGTTCAATTCAAAAATCGTCCCAGGATTCAGCTTCAACTAGTTGCTCCTCAAAGGCAGGTAATAACCCTTCTCCCTTTCACCGATTTCCAATTGCAGGCACTCCTTATCCCATCGATCATTTTTATTCAGAGCATAGACTATCCACATCTCACAAAGCCTTCCTAGCATCCATCTCCTCTCCTGTCGAACCTAAAACCTACAAACAGGCCTCCAAATTCCCTGAATGGCAAGCTGCCATGAGATGTGAAATCCATGTTTTGGAGTTGAACAAAACTTGGACCCTTGTTACTCTCCCTCCTACCAAGAAAGCCATTGGCTGCAAATAGGTGTTTCGTGTTAAATACAAAGCTGATGGCTCTATTGAAAGACACAAAGCCCGATTGGTGGTTAAAGGATACACTCAACAAGAAGGTCTGGATTTTTTTAACACATTCTCTCCTGTTGCTAAAATCACTTCCATCCGGTTAATCCTTGCTATGGCTGCTATTAAGCACTGGCACTTACACCAATTGGATGTCAACAACGCCTTCCTCCATGGTGATTTGCATGAGGAAGTTTTTATGGACTTACCTCCTGGAATGCCAGCCACTGGAAACTACAATGCCTGCAGGCTTTTGAAGAGTCTTTACGGCCTTAAACAAGCCTCCAGACAGTGGTTTGCGAAGTTGTCTACTGCACTATCAACTTTGGTTTCAGTCAAGGTCATTCAGATTATTCTTTGTTCATCAAAAAGTCCAGTAATTCTTTCATTGCAATTTTGGTATATGTGGATGATATCCTCCTAGCCAGCAACAGTTTTCTGGAAATTCAAAGACTGAAATCCTTTCTGCATAACACATTTACCATCAAAGACTTAGGCCAGCTCAAATACTTTCTTAGCATTGAGGTTGCTAGATCCAAAAACGGCATCTCATTATGTCAAAGGAAATACACTCTTGACATCCTCACAGAAACTGGCCTCA